GTGTGCAATTTTAGTTAGATGTGCCAAAAAGACAGAAGAAGAAGCCGTCGGAGGCGGTCGCCGGCGGGCAGCAGCCGCGGAGGTGCAGCCACTGTGGGGTTCAGAAAACGCCGCAGTGGAGAGCGGGGCCTTTGGGAGCGAAGACGCTCTGCAATGCTTGCGGCGTCAGGTACAAATCGGGTCGGTTATTACCCGAATACCGACCCGCTTCCAGCCCCACCTTCTCGAGCGAGCGTCACTCCAACCACCACCGGAAAGTTCTCGAGATGCGGCGGAAGAAGGACCCGGTCGGCGGCGGAGAAGACATCGAACCCGGTTTGAACCTCCCGGTTCAGACCGCCTCGGTTGTCCCCAGTTTTTGAAGAATTAGGATCCGACCCGGTTCAGTCTTTTTAGGCCCCCCAGTTAGTGTCTCGTTAACTCTGTATATTATTTGAATTTTTTCCTGTCATGTTAGTCGCTGTAGACTGATAGCAACTGATTAGGCTCGGAATCAAATTATAGTTATGTACTCTTTGGTATTAATTTGGATTTTAAATTTATTTTCCCGCATGGAGTGAATTTGAAACCCTTGGAGGTTTTTTTCTTCGTGGAGGGCGTTGCAAAGGCAGTACATTAATGAATGGACCAAAGTGACACCATTATTGTTATTATTATGTGAAAAGCGTAGGCATGGGGCATATGGCGTTTCTTCGACGCCCGTTTTCTCTCTTTTTATAAATAAAAATTGTTCCGATTGAATTATTGAAAGTCATGTGTTCGTCGTTTTACTCTTTCCTACATGAAATCTCTGATTTTCACCATTCGTGATTTTGGGTCGTGTCTGTAATTGTATGGTAGTAAATCTGGTAATAGTTACATATACAGTGAAATATCCCCCAGAATAAGAACACGAAATCTCATATTTCATGGGTTTGATAAAAAAAAAAAAAATCTCTTATCGGAGGTAAAAAATCTCTGGCGATGCTATGCTTTATTTGTGTGTAAAATATGAAAATGGCCAATGATTACTCTTCATAGAATTTTTAAAAAATAACCAAAAGCTGTATCTATATTCAATCTCCGTTCACGCAAAAGTTTTACCTTAAAGTGGCATGCATGGCTTACAAATGATCACGTTTCCCAAATTACAAAAGCATTTTTTTTTGTAACAATATAATGTATCGACTTGGGTATTATCAAATGAGTATCATACAGCCGATATATTATATATATATATATATGTCTCATAAAATTTTGTGTAGGAAACCTTTAGAATTGGTTCGGGATGTTGCCATTTGTCAAACTCACATTCCGAAGGTCAACACCCACGTTACGTATAATGGGTTTCATTGTTCCCCTTCATGTATAAACAAAAATTATAAACTAGATGGACTCAACAATAGATATAATTAAATATTAAACGTCTGAATATAAGCATAAACATAACAACAGTAATAAATTATTTTTATTGCAATGTCTATAAAACGTCTAAATACGAGCGTTGGGTATCAATCGATGCTGGGAAAATTATTATAAGAAAAACGAGTGTTTCCATCATATTTTTAATAACGGGACTTGGACTCATATATGCTTATAATGTGAGGGTATGAGACTGTCCCAAGTTTAACTAAAACTAATTTGGATTTCTTTTAGCTATACACTCTTACATGACAATATATATTTATAATATCAATATTCACTCTATTTAATTATATAGTTTTTATTTCTTCCTTCGCTTGTTTTCCGTTGATGACTCCATATTTATAAATTAATGGTAACATGACAAATAACCACGAGTGTGATGATGATGATAATTATAAAGCTATTTATGATATAGTAGCACCGAGAGAAATATGAAACATATATAAACTAAGATATAATATGTATTCAACCGTACATTTAGTTATAGATAAATTAGTCTAAAAAAGGCTCTAATTTTTGTTTATGAAATGGAAATAGAAAATTATGATTTAATTAATTAATTAATGGAATCCCCTCTTTTACTATGTGATGAATATTATTTCGGTTTATAGATTTGTTTTTGTTATGCTATAATTGTAATTCCTCATCATTTCTTATTTTAGAATTTGAAGAATATACATTGTAACATTTTGTACCAAATATATATAGTTTTCTGATTTTTTTGAACTATATAAGATATTAGTATACCATATACTTCAAAGCGAAAAGGAGAAGTGTATCCATAAACAATAAATAAAACACTTAAAAAAGAAGAAGAAAACAGTAGATACCTAATCTTAATAAAATAGGAAAAAAATCCAGAGGGAATATAGAAACTCATCAAGAAATGATAGAAATGGAGATGTGGTAACAAAACATTACTCCACGTGTGCAATTTTAGTTAGATTGAGTTTAGATAAAGCCCTAATATGTAATTTATTTCTATAACCATAGTGATGAGATCATCCTTAAGGCATTGACATGAACATGCACAAAGGAAAATAAGTCAAGGTCGACTATCCCTTTGATCCCTAATTGAGAATTTTTGAATGCAGGATCATATATCACATAATACTCAATCCTTTGGTGGCCCAACATGACATGTGAGGCTGCCACATTCATATGGTGACATTATTTCTTTTGGTTCGTTTTACGTACCATTAATGGCATCTTGAGATACGGGAAGAGGAATGGATCGTTTCACGATATCAACCAGAAGGCTATTTACGTCATTTTATAAAATATATTTGCATGGCATATGTTTTATATTGGTGATCTCAACCCTTTCTCCGGACCAGATATGTACCCATAAATAACCGGTAAGTCTTATAACTGTGTCTGATTCCCTTCAGATTCTGTCCTTTATGGACCGATAATGGGGATCTATTTAAATTTACTTTTTTTTTTTATATAAGATTTGCCCCCAATGAGATTTGAGATTTGAACTCTGGGTTAGGAAACATTTTGTGCAATCCAACCATTAGACCACTCCACTTCAGTTAATTTAAATTTATTTTAATGCCAATTAATTTAAAATTTTATAAAGAAATTATTATTTTTAATTAAATGGATAGAGGCATGTGATCCAATTCATCTATGCATGGATCCGCCAATGATTAGACATAATAACAAGCTAATCGATTTGTGATTTATTTAGTTTTTACTCAATAACCGTTTATTTTCTTATAAGTTATTATTCTCGTTCGACGTTTGAGATGTGCAGCAGTGCAATTCTTATACGTTGTGTGTCTTTTAGAAAATGTTCAACGTCACAAACATGGATATCGTGGGCCGACAGGCCCACAAGTACTTACATGGGCTCATATAAGCCCATTTTGATTAATCGATTATCATAGGCCGACAAGCCCACAAGTATCATAGGTTTGATTTTTTTATAATAAATAGGATATAGGAGGGTAGGGTTGGTAATAAAATATGACATGAATGGTACGTCAGCTCTTCGTAACGAATCTTTGGGGGTTTTAGGGTTTAGCATGTGATTGCTCGTAAAATGGTGCTGTCGACGCGCTCTATCAAAGCCCACATAATTGACTAATTGGGCTCATCATAAGTGAAAAAAGATTGAAAATTAGAAGGAAAAAAAATGATATTTAATTTATCCCTTAACATGATTTACACCTTCCCAAATTTCTAATATTTTTTATTTCTTCCATTGGTTTCAAGTCTAATCATGAAATGATTCCCTTCGTTTGCGGATCCACACTCGATTTCGATACACACATTCACACTCTGACCACAAAATATTTGTTCTGAATACTGTATACTGAATTTAGTTGAATTTGATGGTTAAGTGTATGTTTATGTATATAATGGTCAAGGAAGTGAGAGCATACTATACAGCTTAAGTAATTTCAATTTGTGCTACATATAATAATACAATTATAATAATGTATGATTTTCTATGAAAAACTAGTTTTTTTTTTTATAATCCATAAATTCGCCGTATTTTTTACATAAAAATATCCGAAAAATTAATATGAATACATTTTTCCAAATGAAAATTTGAATTTGGATTGAAAAATAGCTTTGTTACCTTCTTAATCAATTAAAACCGTTCAATCTTGGTTATAAACATGAGTTGGTATTGGAAAATGATTTTTTTTTTTGTTTGTAAAGGGCAACAAAGAAAGACTCGAATTGGGCTCAAAGATTACCAGAAATCTTTCAATATATATATATATATATAATAAAAAATGATCTTACCGTTCTCTCATCCACACTTGGGTTGGAAATATAGTTATGTTTTTTCAAAACTAAACTGTATACAAAGAGACCTTTTCAAACGACTTTTTTATTTGCTGGGGGTTAAAAATACATTAAGAGCAAACCATAGTCCACACGAAAAAGAAGGCCACAGTCTCCCAAAAAACCGAAAACATATTCACAATCGAATTTAAAAACACCAACTTGTGTCTATTATGCCTTATATATATAAACCCCAACTCACATCTCCAAGCTCAGAACACTTCACGAGTGCTCTTCCCTATTTCTCTGCAATCCGATACCTAAAACCATTATCTCTAGAGCTACGACACATCTCTTTCAATATATAGAGAACCATGAACGTTACTATTCTAACCACGGCTGTACTCTCTATTATGATATTACTATACGGCGTCGTCTCATGGCTCCACCGCCGCCGTCTGCCTTACCCTCCTGGTCCGGCGGGACTTCCCATTGTCGGAAACTTCAACATACTTGACAAGATGACCCATCGCGGCTTGGCTGAGCTGTCCGAGCGGTTCGGTGGTCTCTTCCATGTCCGTGTCGGATTCCTCCACATGTTCGCCGTCTCTTCGCCGGAGATCGCACGTCAAGTCCTTCAGGTCCACGACGGCGTTTTCTCGAATAGGCCCGCCACCGCCGCCATACGTTATCTGACGTACGATCGAGCCGACATGGCGTTCGCGCACTACGGACCGTTTTGGAGACAGATGAGGAAACTGTGCGTCGTCAAGCTCTTCAGCCGCAAGAGGGCCGAGTCTTGGGCCTCCGTCCGAGACGAGGTCGATAAAATGGTCCGGCTCGTGGAGACTCACTCGGACCAACCCGTGAACGTCGGAGAGCTCATTTTCTCGCTCACGAGAAACATCATATACCGCGCCGCGTTTGGTTCGGCGTCCGACGAAGGCCAGGACGAGTTCGTGAAGATTCTTCAGGAGTTCTCCAAGCTTTTTGGAGCTTTCAACATTGCTGATTTCTTGCCGTTCCTCGGATGGATCGACCCGCACGGGATAAAGGGGCGAACCAAGAGGGCACGTGCGTCACTCGACCAGTTTATAGATACCATCATCGATAAACACGTAGAGAAGAAGAAGAAGAATAGAAGCACGGGCGACGGCGGTGATCCGAATGAAGACACAACTGATATGGTTGATGAATTGCTTGCGTTTTGTGGCGATGGAAATGCCGAAAATGAGTCGGCCGCTGACCCAAATAACACCATAGAGCTCACTCGGGATAACATTAAAGCCATCATCATGGTAACTGATGCTTGTTTCTTTGACATGCACAAAATGGTGAAATATTTTCATATTTTCGTTGCATTAAGTGTGAAAAAAAAAACCCTTATAATTATATGATCAGATATATCCATAAATCTAGACGGAAAAGAGAGAAACGCAAGCTTTTTCTCATGATATTCCTTCTAGTGTTGCGTTTCGACGTGAATTTGACCAAAAATCTTGGATTTCATAGGATGTGATGTTTGGAGGAACGGAGACAGTGGCATCGGCAATAGAGTGGACGATGTCGGAACTTCTCCGGAGCCCGGACGAGTTCAAACAGGTTCAGAGCGAGCTTGCCGACGCGGTCGGGCTCGAGCGGCGCGTGGAGGACACGGACCTCCCGATGCTCCCGTACCTAAAGTGCGTGGTGAAAGAGACCCTGAGGCTCCACCCTCCCATCCCTCTCCTCCTCCATGAGACAGCGGAGGATGCTGAAGTGGCCGGATATTTCATACCGAAGGGGTCGCGCGTTATGATAAACGCCTGGGCCATCGGCCGTGACCCGGCTTCTTGGGAAGACCCGGATTCCTTCAGGCCATCGAGGTTTCTGGAACAAGGGGCGGCCGATTTCAGAGGGAGCAGCTTCGAGTTCATCCCGTTTGGGTCGGGTCGGAGGTCGTGTCCTGGCATGCAACTCGGGCTGTATGCGCTTGAGCTGGCGGTGGCCAATCTTCTCCACTGTTTCACGTGGGATTTGCCGGATGAGACTAAGCCCAGTGAACTCGACATGGCTGACATGTTCGGTCTCACCGCGCCTCGGGCGAGTCGGCTTCTCGCCGTCCCGAGTAAGCGCGTCATCTACACGCTCTGACCCCACCACATCGCACGATCACGACGATGGAGATATTAATTTCCTCGTACCCATTTTATTTGCTACGACTGGATATATTACAAGGACTGCAACTGGTACTGGTTATATATTCCCACAAGTAATAACTGAGAAATAGAGATCCAAATAACAAATAAATTAATGGGCACAGCTTCCCAAAGTCCCAACCCCACCCACCTTCTTGATTGTGGACACGGCTACATTAGCCACTAACTCGTATTTATACTGCCAATTTAGTGTATGTATATGCCAAAACATGAAAACTTCAAGTAGCCCATCCGTGTTTCGAAAATTGAATTGCACTCAACATCAAGTCCGGAGTATGCGCCCTGATATTACCCCCTCAGAACTCCATCTTCAAGAACATTAAATGAACACAATAGTCTCCTAATCAGTTTTGTGGAGCATAGTAGAGGGTAATATTATACACATCCACATTGTTGTTTTTCATTTATTTGATAAACGCGAGAGGATCTGAAAGAGCCGAGAAGACGCTGTGGAGGGCCTTCCCTAATAAGACTCGGGCGGTCTCCCTTTGTGTTTGATCTAAAACCTTCTTCTTCAATCACTTTGGTCTCTTTCGGTATGGGGCCATGAGGTCGTCCACACTCTCTTTTACGTAGTTGCCGACTCTCTTCATGTTCTTCACCACCCCTGATGCGACCAGATTTGCGTTCCTTGTGAACCTGACGTATCAATACAACACATTATTTCTAGCTCATGAGCTGTACATCATTCTCTCCTATGGATGCACAGGTAATGACGTTTTTTTAATGCCTATTCCGGCATCAGAGCTCGATTGAATTGATTACCTGGTTAGGAAGCCATCCCCTGCGGCAGTTGCGGGTGTTGGTCTATGGGTCTGTCGTGGAGGAAATTCTCGAGCTTCTTGAATGTTACCCATGAAAAAAAAGGGTAAGTATGTAAAAGGAAGGACTTTTCAGTACAGGTGAAATCAGTCAATGAAGAAGATAAGTGTACCGTCTCTATTGTGAACATGAGCAGGAGCTGATGAAGTTTTCCCAGAAGTTACTCTTCTATCAGCTAGTATCTGCACGAACATAAACAAAGTGGTTCAAACACCTGAAACTCCCTTTTCTCTTTCGTACCAGTGATGAGAACCACGTTTGTAGCATACGTCTGATTTTAGCACCCTAGGAATTAAAATCCCTTCTTTTTGTCCAACAGAACGGATACACTCCAATGGAAGGATATTAAAGATGCAGATGAATCACAACAGATGTATGCAAGTCGATATGTCTATAGTGGCTGCAACAATCATAGGCATAAGTGTCTCTGCACTGTACACTAAAACGGCTGTAAAACTTAGATGTTTGCGAGCATTTATAAGCCTGTGTGAATGCAGCAATTGTAGAGCAGAGTGGTGGTGAATGTCAAACCTCAAGACCAACGCAGACAGGAAGTTGTGTCCTCCCATGTTGTTTAATCGCTGTTGAGTCTTTCTCAGTCACATACACTGAATAACCCAGGCATCCATAGTAGAAGTCTGCAAGGGTCCGCCCTTCTTTAGAAGCTTCGGCTTCTGATTGCCCGACAACGTAGTTAGGAACTGTCAAAGTAAGGCATTGTTGTCAGAGTACACTTGAGAAAACGGGAAACCAAGGTTTTTGAAGATCTTTTTCGTGGAACAATAACATGAGTAAAACCACAGGAACAAACAGAACTGTTAAATTTTGCACTCTCGGACGACGCCAAGACTCAGCCGCAAGTACCACAGATACTAAAGCGAGAAGAATTCTACCAAAACACTACCATAATTAATTGGGGACAAACATGAAAGGATGGTTTCGTGTGAATTACCAAACCAAGAAAGTAGCAGTGGGATGGAAAGCGATGATAAAATGGCACAACTACCTCACTTAGCCAGGAAAAAATCAACGAGATCCAATCCAATATTTGTGATAAAGAAGCAAAATCAAAAATAGAATATCACGATTCACCGTATAAGAAAATACTACCATATTTTCAATATCTCAATCATTTACCGCATACTCGCTCTTTCAGAAACCAATCCCTAGGGAAAAGAAAAGCGTCCAATGATGTTGGTGTATAGGTTTTCCTGGCCTAAAGAGAAGGAATTGGAGATAATAGCCTAGATTCAATGAAGAACGAGACAAAAGTAAGTCTCTGGAGCCCTAGAACACAAGCAGAGATAAATAACAAAAGGCGAGAAAAATAGATCTCAAAGGCGAACCCTAATCAGAAGAAAATCAAGAAAACGAGAAAGATGACGAATGGAAGAGATAATCAGGCGATCAATCGAGAAGAACGAAGCATTCAAAGGGAAACAGAAAGAGAAGAGGAACAGAAAATGACCACGACGAAGAGTACGAGGGACGCCGACGCAGCGAGGGTTGCGAGACTTGGATTTGAGAGCGGAGGAGTAATAGAGATAGCCTTTGCAGGATCTTCCCTTCTCCGGAGATCCTCTGGCTTGCTGGTGCTCAGATTTATCTTCCATTATCGTTCTCTTCCCTTCCTCGCTGGAATTCTCATTCATCGTAACTCTCTCTCTCTCTCTCTCGCTCACACTTGATGCTATGGAGAATTTTGAATGTATCTCCTATCTACCGTTCATCGCCAGACTCTCGTTCGATCGCCTCCCGGTTTTTCTTTCACGGTGACCTCTCTTGCTGTTCCAAGCTTTCTTCTCTTGTATGGACAAAAAGATGTCGTTTTGAAGGGGAAAAAATATTATTAGACAGGTAAAGGGGACAAACAGGCCTAGGGTTCAAGATGGGCCAGTGGCATAGCTATTTCTATGCATGGAAACTGGACATTGGACATCATTGTTATCATATAGGGTGTTGGGCCTTTTTTATGAGAATTAATCCCTTAGGTCATTGTTAAATATTCTTTTTTTGAATTTGACAAAATTTTCTAAAAAAAATCAAATTGAGGATTTATATAGAACATTTTTAGAATTTGAGAAAATGACAAATTTTCAATTTTTGTGATTTTACGAGATTGAACATTTTTTTTAACGATCTGAGTAGATACTAGATTGTGATCGTGTTGTGTTGCACTGACACTGTCCTAAGTGTATTCAAACGTGGTGGATAACAAAAACCGATGGAGAATGGGAAGGTCAAAAATGATATTTCCGTCGCCGGGACTCGAACCCGGGTCTCTCGGGTGAGAGCCGAGTATCCTAACCAACTAGACTACGACGGATTTTGAAGTATCCAAATATAAGTATTTATTTGATCAAGGTGGTGGTTTCTTGTCTATCCGTTGCAAAACATCAGTTTCTCTGGATGGTTCCGCCCAGGCAAAGTAAACCTACCGTCGGATTTTGCTCATCGGCTCGGCAATACCTCTCCTCTCTTCTGGTACCCTATCCATGTATATTTTCTTTTTCTTTCAATTTCTCTGTTTCCATTTGATTTCAACTCTGAAGCCAGCTTTGCCTCTGTGGAGTAAGACTCGGCCTTTTGGTTCGTTTTGGTTGACATCAGTCTTCCGGGATTTAGACTTAATTAGTTTTTTTTCCCTAATTGATCGTTTGAAGTTCGTAAATTTCGCTTCAGTATCGGGCTAGGAGAGTAAACCCATGAACCCCTTTGGATGTTCTAGCGTTTTTTTATTGCGCCATTTACCTTAGTTTCTGGGAATTTCTCTCTAGATTGTGTATAGCATTTGTACAAGGGGAGGAAGATTTCAACCCTTTAGATGTTTGCTTATGATGCTTTCGGATTTTATGTCTTCCTCGGTTTCACATTTCTTGCTTGCACGATTCGTACATTTAGGGTTTAAGGCTTTAAGATCGTGGGTCTGAGGGAAAGCTTCAGAGATGAGCGCGTCCGGATTAACTGGTACTCCTCCCAGATGTTCCCTCCGGTGGCCTTCATATCGTCTTCGGACGTCTCAGAGATGCTTTCAAGCTTTTCCGGGACTTGGAAAATCAAATAGTCGGAACCCCGCCCGGCTTGTTCATGAGAGGTTGGCCTTATGCTTATCTTTCTGGCTTTTGAGCTATTGTTAGGCTCGTTTGCTCTTTGTCATGGCTATATGCATTTCTTGTTGCCGGGCTCAAGCAGGACTTATTTGGAATCTCCTACTCGACGAGGTGAGGCGAGGCTCCGTGATCTCATTGCCCGTGCCATGAGTGCCTCATTCGGTGATATGGCTGATGACCCAGGTGGTAATACCTAATTTTGACACATTCATAATTCTGAGTTAAGATTTCTAGTAATGTACATTTACTCCCTGTCTGGTCCCTGTCTGGTTATGCCTTAATTATCGGTGACGGTCATTTAAGTGATGTTCAGCAGTGCAACTTTTGTTGCTTTAGTTTGCCTTTTGCCCGGTATTGCATATGTCTTCGTTGAATATGTTGTCGGTCACTCAGGCTATGATCAGAAATAAAACATAAGATTCTTTAGTAATGGGCTCTGACGGATAGATCACAATTCTGAGTTCAACTACGCGAATTAAGCGTTGCTAAACTTGTGCAACTTATGGTTCTGTAGTGATGGGCTCTGATGGTTTTTGCTTGTTATTCAGGTTCGACCGTCTTCCCTCGGATCAATGTGAGAGACCCATACAAACGCCTTGGAATAAGCCGAGAGGCATCTGAGGCTGAGATTCAAGCTGCAAGGAACTTCCTCATTCAACAGTACGCTGGGCACAAGCCCAGTGTGGACGCGATTGAATCGGCTCATGACAAGATTATCATGCAGAAGTTCTACGAGAGAAGGAACCCGAAAATCGACATCAAGAAAAAGGTCCGCGAAGTGAGGCAGTCCAAAGTTGTTAACTTTGTATTCGAGAGATTCCGAACTCCGCCCACCGCGTTCATCGTCAGAACGGCTGTGACTTTCGCCGTTCTCGGGGTTCTTACTGTTCTGTTCCCGACGGAGGAAGGGCCCACACTGCAGGTTGGGTTATCGCTAGGGGCTACAATGTACTTCATCCACCAGAGGCTGAAGAGCAAGCTCCGGACTTTCCTTTACGGGTAAGCTTATACTGGTCGGAAACATCGGATCTAACTGGTCGGAATTTGGTTATGACGAGAGAGTTGCTGTCGTTGTAGGGTTGGAGGCTTTGCGTTGTCGTGGCTGCTGGGGACGTTCTTGATGGTATCTGTGATTCCGCCGTTCATCAAAGGGCCCAGAGGTTTCGAAGTCATGTCCTCCCTCCTTTCCTACCTCTTCCTCTGGATTGCCTCCACTTACCTTCGCTGAGCCATTGCTGTTGTTTTCTTCTCTCTGGGTTTGTTTTTTTTTTTTTTGGTTCACGGAAACTTCCTCCATTTTCACCTGTTTCCAGTGGAGAAATGAAATCACTGAAGTGAACAAAGACGGACAAGGTTGCCTTCTTTCAGGCGAAACCAAAAGTTATTTTGTAGATTTAGTTATAACATTTTTATGAAATGAATTGCTTTATACCAACTTAAACAATTCAAGTTTGTGGTATGAAATGAATCGGGTGCATTTTATCGCCTAAGAAGATGTATTACTTTTTACAACATGAATCAATCTTTACATCATTTTCCCTTGTCCGTAATGGTCTCCCTGTCTTTTCCCTGCAGTTGAAAGTCTCTAGTAGGAGTGGAGGCAGCCACGTGGCACAGAAAGGTAAACCCAAAAGTATTAATGGGCTACTCTATTCAGGCCCAAATGTTTTTGCGGCTTTTCGGCTTCCTTTTATGGTCACACACACATCCTCGATAGGGCAGAAAATAAAATAAAGAACGATTTTTGTCACCGTGTAATGATAAATGCTTATATATTTTCGGATGGAGAATTTGTGGGGCGTTGACTATATATACATACATACATATTAATTCATGTGCCGCGACATTATTAGAACTGCGTAATTTGTCCACATCTTCATGTGCATGCATGTCCCTGTATTCTTTGAACTTTCACCGACACCGATCATATACACATATACACATAAGCGATAAAACATGAGTCCTCGACCAAACATTTGTGTCCAAGGAGTGGCATATAATTTAATGTATTTGCCGTCCTCTCATTTTCTATCATTTTTTATAGCTGAATTATACTTTTTACCGATACGTCGATCTAGAAGTCATATAATATATGAAATTACCAATAACAATAAGTGTCTGTCCTGTCTCGAATTCGAATCCCATATTGGGGAGGGAGCGCATAATTCAAATCATATAGCTGTCTTCCGACTCCGAGATTAGTCTGGACCTCGACTCAGTAAACCCGATTATCCAAAAAAAAAAACAATAAAAATCACAAAAATCTAAAATTTAATAAAAACAGCTTTTCGTCTACAAACTAATTCTTTATTTCTTTGTTATAGATATATTTATCATAAAACTGGATTCGTACGTAGATATCCATTACATCTGTTAGTCTAACCACTGGAGGCAACTTATATATATATATATATATAAATTATTGTAAAATGTGTGTGTGTGTGTTTTGTTTCTTCAGACGTAAGAAAAAGCCTAGAGGCAACTTTTCATACATGCACATGCATGCATGGGCCACGAAAATAGACGAAAAAAGACATGGGGATGGGACATGACATGGGTTTTGGAGGCCATGTGGTATGGTTCTCTCTCTTTTATGATTAATTTAATGTCACTTCTCGGTGGGGCGAAGACCAAAATTTATAAGCACCCCCACCACACCATCCTATATATTAATTAGAGACACTCAGCTCATTTGATTCCTCTCTTTCTTCTTTTCATTGTATTATTCATTATAATTCAAAATTATCCTAAAAAAACTATGTTATGGAGTATAAATTAATAAAATTGATTAATCATTCGTACTAATTTTGGATATAAAAGATCAAAACATTCAAATCCATGTTTGGATAGCGCCTTATGTTTATTTTATTTTATTTTACAGGGACAATATTATGGAAAACTAAACCTTTTTGTTTTGGTGAGACCTTTGCTTGCAAATGCATTTAGTTAAGTTAGATTCCTTGTTGTTAGTCACTTCTTGTTCCATGAAGTTCGATAAGTTTAATTTCTTTTTCACGATTTTCAATTTCATGTATGGTCATATTTTGTATAAATAGTAGGTGATATATAATAATTGTATTAACCGAAAACGATGTGATTATTCAACTCAAAGCTGATTACGACCAATTCAAATTTATCTAATTTATTTATGCATGAAAGTTTACATCATATATATATATATATATGTTCACAATTAAAACTAGAAAAATTGTTCCTCTAGAGAAATAATTTCTTTTATTGTTGTAAATATGAATAATGGCAAAGATATGTTTAGATTCTAGGTAATAATAGGTTTGTTGTTTTTTTTTAGCTAATTTGTAAATTTTAGATTTGAAATTGAAATGGAAAATCTTAAAAGGTTGTGTGAGTTCATTAGAAAACAAAGGGCAAAAGAGTAAATCCAGCGGTGGAGTTTATTTCCTTTGGCGCGGCAGTTTTTAAGTCGGAAGGCTAATAATAATTTTTGCTAATTGCAATTAACCAACGACGAGACGGGGAAGAAGAAGACTCCATTAACAATAACAGCTTCGCCAGTCTTGTTGTCGAACGAGAGAGAGAGAGAGAGAGAGAGAGTACCTGGCGTTCTCTCGATCTCTTTCTCCGGATTTTTCTCTGTTCCATTCTGATTAGGAATATCGTCGTTTCTGCAAATTTCCTTCATATTGCGTCTGTTTTCGGTGATCTAGGTCTCATCTCTTATTCGGAGCTACGCGCCGTTGGAGGTAAGAATTTTTTTTTGTTTTTTTGGAAATTCGGATAGTTTCTCCCCCAAATTTTGTAAGTTTGTTCTGGATTTTCATAGATTCATTGATTTTAAGGTCCTCTTCGAGCCGGTGAGAAGCCTTCCATTTTTTTTTACCGAAGCTTAGATTCATGTCTCGTGACGCTCATTTTAGTAATTTCGCACCTGAAATTTCAAATTTCTCCTCGAGTTAGCTCATCATCTCCAAAATCTCGATATTTTCTGTAATGACAAGAGTTTAGATTTGGCTGAAGCTAATCTTTTCCAAGGATCAGTTTGCAATTGTGTCATACTGTCCCTTTCTCTCTCTCTCTCTCTCTCTTTTTTTTTCAAATTGATTTTCGGGATCTTGCGGTTGGATTTTCTTTGTTGATTGGAAATCAGGTAGTAGTAGTCAAATACCCTGTTAATGACAAGTCCTCCCCTCGATGCACATGGATTTACCAAAGATTCTTGGCGCCAGATCGAACATTCTACAAAAACGGCTGTGAGATCTTAAAAAATATTATCAAAGCGTCGAAGGTAATGTATATTTCTTGGTATTTTGTTTGTAGCGACAAAGGGAAAAAAATATTGCAAGTTTGAAACTTTTGCAACATGCTGGGAAGACTTTGACAGACTGTAACAGAGGGGGACCATACCACAAAACTCCAATTTCTCCATTGGATATTATATGAAGTTTCGTTTGTTTTTCTCTCGAAGAATGAGGAGAACAAATCTCTGTTACTGATTACGCTTATGCATTCTCTGCGACAATTTTTGGATAAAAAATGGACCAATATTGTTCTTTAGCTAGAGACATGGAATCAGACAATATTATTATTGACGTCAGGGATCGCCATGATTAAGTTATTGATGCAATAATTGGAGTTGTCTCATAATAGCAGACTTTGCCCCTATATATGATGCTGCTGTTGTGATTTCTTGGTTTAGGTGTGGAAAGGAAGGTCAGGGATGAAAATGGCTGGGGAAGAGGATCAGATGCAAGGACAGAGTGGTAGAGAGGAGAAGATTTTTGTTTCTGTTCGTTTGCGACCACTGAATGAGAAGGAAATTGCAAGGAATGGTGTGTCAGACTGGGAGTGCATCAATGACACTATGATTATATACAGGAGCCATCTTTCAATTTCTGAGCGCTCCATGTATCCTTCTGCTTACACTTTTGGTAAGAAGATGCTCACATTGTACCCGTTTCTTTTATCAAAAGCCAAAATGCGTCCTTATATGTCTTTGCTGAGCTATCCTCTGCCTCTAGACAGAGTGTTTGGCCCTGAGAGCTCTACGAGGCAGGTGTATGAACAAGGAGCCAAGGAAGTCGCTCTCTCGGTTGTCGGTGGGGTAAATGGTATGGCACGTTTCTTTCTGGATGCTAGACTTGCTAATCTATCTCTTGTGTGATACATATGGATTTCATCTAATTTTCAGCTAGTGTCTTTGCATATGGGCAAACAAGTAGTGGAAAGACCTACACTATGATTGGAATCACTGACTATACCATGGCTGATATATATGACTACATTGACAAGGTAAAGAAAGATTTTCACAAATATTTTACTACAGCCCATTCTTCCCTTGTAATTCTTTACCTGTTTCCTGCAGCACAAGGAAAGAGAATTCATTGTAAAGTTCTCTGCGATGGAGATCTATAACGAGTCTGTGAGAGACCTCCTAAGTACGGACAATAGTCCACTAAGACTTCTAGATGATCCTGAGGTAAGTGTCATCCTTGCATCTTATGGAACTCGTCTTTGGGTGATCTCACATGCCGGCAAGTTGCTTTTCGGCAGAAAGGGACAGTTGTTGAGAAAATCACCGAGGCAACTCTGCGGGATTGGAATCATTTCAAGGAGCTTCTATCTGTCTGTAAAGGTTAGGAGAATCGAGATTGATGGTTCTTGCTGCTGGTGATGTTGTATATCAGTTTGAGTGCTAGTGATGTTTTACATCATTTTGAAACAAACTAACCGTTGCAGCTCAAAGGCAAATTGGAGAGACAGCTCTGAATGAAGTGAGCTCAAGGTCTCATCAGATTTTGAGATTGGTAAGGTGTCTTGCTGGTTTATGTTTCTTTGTTTTTGAACTTTTTGCTGAGCAATATATTTTTTACAGACTATTGAAAGTACAGCACATGAGTATCTAGCCAACGACAAATTAAGCACCCTCACAGCAACAGTGGTGTGTACTTCTGAACTTTCCATCACATAATTCAGGTCAAAAAATAAAATGATTGAAATCCATGGAGTAACTATATATCCCGCAGAATTTCATCGATCTCGCTGGAAGTGAACGTGCATCTCAATCACTATCAGCTGGCACAAGATTGAAAGAAGGTTGCCATATTAACCGCAGTTTACTGACACTGGGAACTGTCATTCGTAAGCTAAGGTTAGCCTGTACAGATCTTTAGCCTCTAGGAATTCTTTGTTTCCTGGCAACCCTAGTCTGCCCTTTGTTCTTTTTAGTTTACAAATAAGAATTCCTCTTCTGTTTAGATTGTTGAACAGTTTTCATTTTACCTAAAAGCTGAGTTCTGTGGCTCGCCCATTGAATCAATCAGTAGATTGCAGGCCTCAACATCTCAAGTGTTGTGCTCCCTTTACCATTTATCAACTCCTGGATACAATGTATTCTCCACATGACTGGCTCATATGCCTACCTTTTAATGCAGCAAAGGGAAAACAGGGCACATTCCATTCAGAGATTCAAAGCTGACACGGATACTTCAGTCGTCCTTGGGAGGAAATGCCCGAACTGCAATAATCTGCACAATGAGTCCTGCAAAAATCCATGTTGAACAATCCAGAAATACACTGTTATTCGCAAGCTGTGCTAAGGAGGTGACTACAAATGCACAAGTCAATGCAGTGATGTCTGATAAAGTTCTGGTAAAACACTTGCAAAGGGAGTTGGCTAGACTTGAGAGTGTGTTGAGAAGTCCTGGTCGAGCTTTTGTTGAACCTGACACAGCTGCTTTACTGAGGGAGAAGGACATCCAGATAGAAAAGGTGAGTAAGTATAACTTAATCAGCTTACTGAGATCTCTGAAAACAAATTCTAATAAAACTATATTTCCCGAATCGGTATATTACAAGATCATCCTTTGTTTTTCTACTGGCAGCTACATTTATATTTCTACTGCTAGTGACTTGAATTTTGGTCTTTTGCATTGCTATCAGCTGAATATCGAGGTATTCGAACTGAAGCAGCAATTAGATTTCGCCCATTCTCAGATCGAGGGTTTTAAACGAATTGTAGGAGAAGAAACACATCCAGAAAAAGAGACATCATCAACAGAATCGGTACAAGCAAATATCTATCTTTTTCACTATTTTAATTTACGGAAGGATGAATACACCTTGTTGCTGCCTACTCAATCAAATTGTTTTTTTCTCCCTTGCTTCAGATGGTGATGGAACATCAATACCCCAAGCTGCGTGTACGTAAATCATGGGATTCTTCTGAAATCCCAACACCAGAAAGCCCCGTATCAGCTCAGCCTTTCAGTTTGTCTCCACGTTCAACCGAGCACAGTTATGATGAGAATGTTTTCCAGCTTTCAGATCTCAGAATTGATTCCAGGACAAGCAGTCCACCTCAGCCCCTTTCATTTGGAACTCCAGGAGAGTTCACCGATGTTCGACTTCGTTTTTATGAGACAGAAACTAACGAACAATCTGATGTTCACAAGGAGGAAACTGCAGATCAACCTCGTATTCATCGGGATCAATTTCTTGAGCTCGATGAACAGCCTGACAGGAATTCAGAGGACAGTTGCGTTGAAGTTCGATGCATAAAAATGGAGGAGCCAGGTATTGGCAGATATCCTGAGCCAAATACGATGGAGTGCATTCCAAACCAACATGAAGAAACTAGTGCACTACTGGTGGCTGAAGCAGATTCGGAGAGCGTAAGACCACCAACAGAAGCTGAGGACGAAGAAGAAAATGTAAAGGAAATCAGCGACATCTCTCTCCGACCAGAGGAAGAAAGAGAACCCAGCAAAACGCCACCACAATCTGTTTTACCGTCTCCTGACAGATCTTTTCCTCGGCAGCTTGATGGAGAAATGTCTAGCCTCAGAGGAAACTCGACACATCCAGATTTCATCACCCCTTCTCCCGAGAAACCCTACTCGTGGCTTCTTGGGAGAGATTCACATACATTCAGAGGCATGAGGCTGATGAGGAGCAGAAGTTGCAGAGCAAGCTTTACATCAAACTCTTCCTTCTCTTGGTTTGACAAAGATGAGAAGAGCGAAAACACTCCCCCAAGCTGGTACGAGAAAGAATTCGTTAGAACAACCGAGAGCAACCAGACAACACCCACTTTGCAATGTAACTTCAGGGATGAGAGGCCGCTGCTGGACAATTTTAGGAGCAGTGCTACTTGGTTTGAGAAATCTTCGAGTAGAAGACCTGTGAGTACCCAAACGATGGCCACTGCTTCACAGTGTGGCATCAATAACGGGATGTCATCGCCAAATGAATCGCAGGCTTCCCACTCTGAATCCTCCATGTTTGAGCTTCAGAACTACAAAGCGAGAGTTCAAGACAACGAGGAGAGAACTGTGGAAGTGGGAAGTCATGAGACTGTTGCTCAAAAGGACAAGCGAATGATCCATTGTCTGGTTAGGCTTTTGCTTACTTGGTTGACCGAAATTGCTTCCTCCTGGATATTATTTTTTGGTTTTGTCGGTTTGCTTAAGAGTCGATCTAAATCAAAGAGGATCATGCCAAGGTGATTTTATTATGTTTTTGTGGTGCAGATGGATGACATACAAAACAAGTCCATGACGACTTCAAAGACTTACAGGGATGCAGGGATGGATCCGATACATGATTACTTAACGACACCGTTGAATTGGACAATGGAGTTCAAAAGGCTGCAGAGGGAGATAATAGAGCTGTGGCATATATGCAATGTGTCGATGGGCCACAGAACCTACTTCTTCCTTCTATTCAGAGGGGATCAAAAGGATTGCCTGTACATGGAAGTAGAGCTCCGGAGACTCAATTACATCAGAGAATCGTTCCACCATGGTAGCAAAACCATCGAAGAGGGACGCTCTCTTTCCCCAACGTCCAGGTATTGAACATTATTATCGTTTAGTTTTCGTGCATTTACGAATATCATAGTTAGTTGATAATCTGCTGGTACATGAGATGGAATGATAAACAAAATCTGAGCACTTTGTGATTAAAAAAAAAATGGGGCAGCATGAGGGCGTTGAACAGGGAGAGGTACAAGCTGAGCCAGATGATGCAGAAGAAGCTGTCGAGGGAAGAGAGGGAGAACTTGTTCCTGAGATGGGGGATAGGGCTCAACACGAAGCACAGGCGGCTCCAGCTGGCACACCGGCTCTGGTCGGAGACCAAAGACTTGGACCATGTCCGAGAGAGCGCCTCCGTGGTGGGGAAGCTCCTGGGCTTCGTGGACATGGACTTGGCCTCCAAGGAGATGTACGGTCTAAACTTTTCAATCAAACCCCCACTTCCCAAGAAGAAATCCAGCAGGTGGAAACGCAGCGTTCTTTCTCTCTCTATTTTATAGCGACCCTTCATCCATCCATCCATCCCTCCCTCCTTGTTCAGGCTTTGTTTGAGTGATTCTTCTGATCTTGATGATATCTTAGTCCTCAGCTTAGTGACCATCGGTAGTATTATTTAGTGGCTTCTCTGATTGCAAAAAAAAAAAAAAAGGTTTGAAAAGGATTTGCTTCTGTAGCGCTCTTGTAAGTAGGTGGTAAACTGATTTTTGGTATTGTGTCTGATATCAAGAACCCAGGAGCCATGCTTGAAGGATATATATATTCTGATATTGGTTGTAAATTTGTAAGTAATTACTCTGTCAAATTTTGCATCTGCTCCGTAAGATTTTAGATGAATCTCATGCGTATGAAAGTGGAAAGGATCATATCCTCCCACTGACTGACTGACATACTTTCGTACGACGTTCCACACAAGAACATTTAGTTTGGGACAACCCAAACCCAACGGAAGCACAAAAATAATGCTAAACTGTCAGAGGGTGTCTCATTTGTATCCACTTGGGGAAGAACTAACTACAAAACAAAGGGGGTTTTGTTTGTTCCACTTGGGGAAGATCCATATATATATATGATGTTATGCCATGTGCTTCCTTTGCCTTCGCCAAATGAATCACAGATCCATCTCTGCAGACGCAACGGCGTCTTTTTTTTAAAAAAATATTATTACTGTGTAGAATAATGTGTGGAGCACAAAATATCGATACATACTATATCGTTTTAGTTGGGCATTATATCAAAAATACCCTTAAAATGCTACTTCTACTTCAACACCTACCCTTGTGACCATGTGACCACCTACCCTTGTGACCATGTGACCAATGTGATGGAAATATAGTGTGGTCACATATTGATCTCATTGTTCATAACGTTAAATTTATGATGTTTTAATCAAATGATTAGTAAGATATACAAGGTATGAACATAATGAATTAGTGTGATCACCATAAATTTAACGTTATAATCGATAAAAATCAAAATGTGACCATACTATATTTCGGTCACATTGGTCACATGTGACCTGGGTAGGTCTTGAAGTAGAAGTAGCATTTTAAGGGTATTTTTGATAATGGCCCTTTTAGTTGTGTGAAAACAAAATGACTCTGTTCCGTGCATGCACAATCAAGTTGAACTAAATCGTAACTTACGGATAGGAGGCCGCACAAAAAAAAAAACAAGAAATTTAAAATTAAATCCAAATCATCAGATAATGATTAAAGTTGAAGGTAGGGGTGTCGGATCAAGGTTGCTGCTGAGGATCCATGTAACCAGCATCCACGAGCACCTTCTCCCTCTTGGCCAGCTCCAGATCTTCCTCCACCATCATCTTCACCAGCTGCTCGAACCCTACTCTCGGCTTCCACCCCAACTCCTCCTTCGCCTTCCCCGCGTCTCCTTTCAGGTTATCCACCTCCGCCGGCCTGAAGTATCTCTTGTCTATCTCCACATGGTCTTTCCATTTCAGCCCCACGTACCCAAACGCTACCTCCAGGAATTCCTCCACTGTGTGCGACTCCTCTGTCGCCACCACGTAATCGTCCGCCTTCTCCTGCTGCAGCATCAGCCACATTGCCTCCACGTAGTCCCCCGCGAATCCCCAGTCCCTCGATGCCTGGAGGTTTCCCAGGAATAGCTTCCGCTGCAATCCCACCTTGATCCGTCCCACCGCCCGAGTTATTTTCCGAGTCACGAAGTTCTCGCCCCGACGCGGTGACTCGTGGTTGAACAGAATACCGTTGCAGGCGAATAGACCGTAGGCTTCTCGGTAATTGACGGTATACCAGTGAGCCGCGCACTTGGACGCGGCGTAGGGAGATCTCGGATGAAACGGTGTGGTCTCGGACTGCGGAGGCGGAGTGGATCCGAACATCTCGGAGGATCCGGCCTGATAGTACTTGACGATCCGGCCAGTGGCGGAGATGTGAGATCTGACGGCCTCGAGGAGGCGCAGAGCTCCAGTAGCGACGACATCGCCCGTGTAGTCCGGGATCTCGAAGGAGACTGCGACGTGCGACTGAGCGGCCAGGTTGTAGACCTCATCGGGTTTGATGACGTCGAGCCACCGGCGGAGCGAGGAGGCGTCGGTGAGATCGCCGTAGTGGAGCTTCATGCGAGCCTTGTGGATGTTGTGAGGATCGACGTAGATGTGATTGATTCGCTGCGTGTTGAAGTTGGACGACCGGCGAATAAGGCCGTGGACCTCGTAGCCTTTGCCAAGCAGGAACTCCGTCAGGTACGATCCATCCTGACCGGTAATTCCGGTGATCAGAGCTATCTTCCTCGGCATTGCCGCGGCGATGGAATCTCCGTTGGGAGTGGTAACGGAGTCGGATCTGGATCCATCGTTCTCGGACGCCATTGATGTGACTGGGATCTGGATTGTTCAGATGGATCGTGTCGGTGTCGAAATTGGGGAGAGGAGAGAGAGAAAGTGTACGTTAGGAGATGTGAGGCCAACCAGTGACAAGGGAAGGGGACGTGTTCTGTCAGCTCCGACTGGGTTTATATAGGAATGGGCGCAGCATGAAGACGGAGGGTCAGTTTCGTCATTTACTAGGGTGAAAGGGAACGGGAATGCCGCCCGTAGCGTTTACATGAATTGGAAAAGATAAAAGAGACATAAATTAAGATGGGAAGAAAGAAATGGGTGAGAGGTGGCGGACACGTCAACCGGCACTGATAATAAATCATAATATTATAACCATGTACATAAATAAATATATAAAACTAGAACCCATTTATCGTTCACGTGGATTCACGGTTGGGCTTTAAAGCATTTATTGGACACGGAGCCCATCACCCATTTCATCATTAATGGGCTTATGGGTCGCTCACATATATTTATGGGCCTTTCAATTTTGGCAAAAGTATGGTTTTGATTTTAGGTTGGGACAACAAACGCTAAATAACTTTATAACAGAAAATCCAGTAAAACAATCAGACAACAAATATGCAAAACTCTTTCTCCATGCCATGGCACTTAAGTCCACAAAGTTCCAACATCAAAACTTGTTCTGAAGTAACAGACAAAAGCAAACGGTCCCAGAAGATTGTGAAACAATAATATAACCCAAGAAACAAAACCGAGAGGAAAGCTCTTACAATCAAGCCTAGTCGGCCTTGGCAGCAGTGGCGGCGGCTTGACCTCTGAGACGACCGGTTCTCCTCGCAGCAATGAGACCAACCTTTTGACCAGGAGGGGCATCACGTCTGACTGTGCTGGCGTGACCAATGTGCTGGTGGTTACCTCCTCCATGAGGATGTTCAACTGGGTTCATCGCCACACCACGGACCTTCGGCCAGCAGTTTCTCTTCACTCTGAACTTGTGGTAGGCATTTCCGGCCTTGAGGAGAGGCTTCTCCGTTCTTCCTCCACCGGCAACTTGGCCAACCATGGCTCTGCAACCACTCGGTACAATCTTCTTAGACCCAGATGGGAGCTTGATCCTGCCAGAGTAAAAGATCATTCAGTGTTATTGACCGAACTTTAGTCATAAATAATAAGACTTGCTAGCTTGTGGTAGCCATATACATGTATATATTGTAAGACAGACATTCGATTAATTGTACAAAAATCTCCAAATTCATGCGAACGACCCCAAATAAACTTGGGATTAAGGGCATGTTGATGTACAAAAATACCCAAAATATTATTTGGCAAATTCTTATGATCGTAATGTAATGCCTGGATTAGTCCTACAGATGGCGAAAACACCAACTGATTCCCTAACTACACCAACCTACAGGTGTTCTAAACTCAATCTGGATTGTTGGACATAAATGGCTCCCCAGATAGAATGGCATACAGCTTGGTGAAACACGATAGAGAAACAGAAACAAAGAAATCATACTCACAATGTTAAAACGCATAAAGTACAGATAGTTAAACTGAGAAAGAAATCATAAATGGATATGCAGTTCTAAGATCCGTTCCCATTTCACAGACTCGAACAAACTACCCGCACGGATCCAGAGCAACAAAACAGAAAGGTAAACGAACAAACAGCAAACCACAAGCGGTAAGAGTCACACCTGGTGGTATCGTTGTCAGGATTGTGGGCGATAACAATAGCGTAATCACCGGAAGCCCTAGCGAACACACCACGATCGCCGACATGATGCTCGACGTTGCAAACGACAGCTCCCTCAGGAATGGACCTGAGAGGAAGAACATTGCCGACAACGAGAGAGGCCCTCTTACCACAGTACACGAACTGACCGGTGTACATACCCTCGGCGGCGACGAAGAGTTCCTTCTGCTTCTTGTACCGGAAAGGATGTCGGAAAACGACCCGAGCGAGCGGAGCACCACGGCCTGGATCGTGGATGATCTCCGTCACGACACCCTTGAGATAACCATTGCGCTCGCCGAAGTCGAGGCTCCGGAACTTCGCAGGACCTTTGCGGTGGTGCGTGTGGGACTTGAAGACCGAACCAGCACCCTTACGCTGAGCACGGATTACACGACCCATCGCCGACGCCGGTTTCTGCTACCCCCGAGTTGGTCAGATATCGTGGCGAAAATGAAGATGGCTGCATATATATGTGTGCGCTCAGAAACCCTATTTCGCTGCAGGGAACCCTTATTTTTTAAGTGGGCTGGGCCGAGCATAAAATTTAAATGTAATGGTTGGCCCAATAATATCAGGGCCCATTTAATACTCAGCATTTTTAGGCCCATTTGTAACAATATGAGACATACTTGAAATTTAAAATTAACACTAGGGGGTTTTAGTAGATATAATTAAATAATTGTCATTTTATTAGTTGAATGTTAATGATAATTTAAGTATTTGGATTTCTGTGCTATTTATTTAGTTATGTTGTTTTGACTTTATTTAAAGAAAAGAGATGAGAGAGAGAGCTGACTTTCTTGGCTAATTTGATATTAATTTGAGATGAGAGAACAAACCTCAAAATAAAGAGAAAAAAAAATTTGAAAATTAAACGGTGGGTGCAATTCATAGCACATTTGTTTCTTCTGTTTAAATAAAACCTAACCCTATCCCACAACTCCCCGCTCAAACCCTACTTTTATAATATTTCCAAGGCGGGCCTATATGTATATATGTTGTCAATAATATCTTGTGTTGATTAGTGAGTATAATATATATATATATATATAAATTATCATTATTATTGTTACGTTGCTGTCCAAAATCCATGTATAGTATATGTTTTGAATGTGCGTTTTACGTGGTTTTTGTTGTGACGTGTGTGTATATATGTTGAATGTACGTATTAAAATTTAATTGACTTGACTGTGTAAATTACATGTCGTGGCATATGTGGAAGGTCTGGTGATGGTTAATCAAAATGGGTTTCTTATCAGATAATTCATTATCAATTGATGGTAGTCACCAGCGAGAATATACGCCATCATTCATTCATGTATATACGATCGTAATCAACTCATCATCGTTTGATGCGTATATGCGCGTGCATGCATGCATGGCTAATGGTATCCGGAGTTCGAAATGGGAAAACATCAACCATTTAATTCCAAGTAGTTACATTAAAAAGGAACAGTATATATATGTACACGATAATCGATCAATCTCCCGAATTTAAGAACATATATATATATATATATATATATACATGCGGTTATATATTTTGTCGACCAAACCGGGAACACAATAACTTCATTGCGCATTTGGTTCCGTCGTTTGTCACCCAACCAAAAAAAAAGCCCTAGAGAAGCGAAGAAATGGGGTCTAAAGGAGAATAATTTCATCTGATGGAAGCCACCAGAGAGTGAAACACATCTTCGTCACAAGGGATGGTGAGGCCAGTTTCTTGGCAGAACCCGAACTCTTCCTCAGCTTGTTGAAGTAACATCTAGAAACAATATCCATGCATGCACATGTTATATTCATATACATAGGTAATATACCATCTTTATTAATAATATATAGCTATATGCTTTTCATCTGTGTATAGATGTGGTAGAAGTACGTACCAGGAACATGGGATGGGTGAGCCAGGAGATGGGGACGACGTGTCGGCTTCTGGAGACTCCGACATAGACGACGAAGTGACCCTTCGGGACATCGTCGTGACAGCCATCGGTCTTCTTGCCGAAACTCGAGCACCTCTTCAGAATCTGCTTCAGCCCTCCTCCTGCCTGATTCGACGCCGCCTTGTTCGCCTTCTTTATCCCCATTTTCCTTTTTCTCTTTTGATTCAGCTGATCTTGCTGCTTGTGTGTGCGTGTGTGTGTGTGGTTTTCTAGAGTTGTAGATATGGCGCATCTACACACACACACCCGCGTGTATGTGTATATATATACATAGAGAGAAAGAGAGCCACAAACAACTAGTGTCGACTGTAGATAAATATAATTGAAAACCCAAGATTATCTAGACTAATTAGTTGCAAACCAATGGTGCGTCATTCGCATAAGGAGGTGTCGGCTATATATGCAATCATGCATATATGTCGTAAATATAATTATTAATTAAGTACACAAGTAGAGGGTAAGGGGCAAAGACATGTGGGGATGTGGGGGTGGGGGGATGAAGAAGAGAGGCAGAGGGTCCAAAGGGGAGAGGGGTTGTGCCCTACAAATGCATCCCTTTCCCAATGACACATTTTCATTTCATGCCTCCTCTCTCTCTCTCTCTCTCTCTCTCTCTCTCTCTCTCATGCTTTTCCGCCAATCCCTCTCACGTTTTCTCCTCGTTGTAATTTATGAACTCCACGACAATTCGCTGCACAATGGATGCTTTATCCATACAAAACCGCCTAATGCTCCAAAGGCATACATATACAATACACTTGTCTCTACATACATACATACATACGTGTAACGACACACGTTAGTACTCTTGCTTGTTTATCGTTTGTATATATATACATGTAGCTCTTAATTAATTTGCTGGTTTAACAAATTTAATTCAACAGGATGCTCGATACATTTTACAAAAGAGTGTGTGTGTGTGTGTATATATATATTGCAAAATGCCTAATCCTTTTGAAACTTTACTTGTGCCGACATAGAAGCAAGGCAATGCGTGAGGCGACAAATACTTGTCGTTTAAACAAAAAGCATGCGTAAAATATGTACAATCAATGTGCATTATGTATATGATTAACTTGGGGTTAATCTTCTGATTAATACACCTCAAAGACTAATCATTCGTACGATGGATGTCTCGACATTATTGGACTGACCATGTGGTGCCTGCCGCCTTCGAGACTAACCTCCATATAATAATTAAATCCGATAAAATTGGTAACAAGGCAGACATATATAAGCCTTGCATGTTCCATATAAAATACAATATATAATAATAATACCAGCATGACTTGCTATTTGCCGCAGCCTGATCTATTTAGATGTACGTTCTATGGTCACATAATTTGTATATGTGATATTCGAATACACACATATATAGATACGTACGCGTACGTATGCAAAGTGGTTTTAATTTTAAAAACTTTGTATTATAACTATCTATTATTTTTTTTGGCGATTGATAAAAAAATGTGTATTCATGAAAACCAAATATCGAGTGAACAGCGTTTTTGGAATGGCTTTCGGTGACAACACATCTTCAAGAAACATAATTGAACAGGAATTCCACACCTCCAGCTTCATATTCCATCCATTATTGTCTAGAGCTTAGAGCCATCATTTTGCACTGCTCGTTCATGGCCTGAAGCTGTGCCTCTTTCTTGTCGACCAGAGCCGACAGTCTATCGTTCTCCTCCATTAGCTTCTGGACCTCTGCTTCTTTCTGCATTTTCTCGCCTTCCAGCTGCGTCGTCTTGGCAACTAGCCTGCCTTACCAGCATTGTGTTATCCATCAAAGATCACAAAAACAGTCATGACCTCCTAATCTACGAAGAAACGTGCATGAATTCAAACGCCTAGAACTAGAGTAATCTCTGGTGAGAAACCCAAAAAAAGGACTGAAGCCCAGAAAAGGCATGCCATGAATGTAGAATCGGGTGACAGCAAGGTTAAATCTTTTTCTTGTAAAGCTTTTAGAGCTTTCTGCATTTACTGTCAGCGGCTCAAGGAAGGGTTTATGAAATAAAATGCTTTCAGCAAGAATATAATGGATGCAGGGCACTCACCGTTCAAAAAGCCTCTCGATTGTTTGGAACTGCTTCTCTGATGAGATGAGCGTTTCTCTCACGCTGATGAGACTTTTGACGTAGGATTTAAGCGACTCAAAGTCTTGCTTGACTCGACGGAGCTCCACCTCATTTTCCGAGGCTCTTTGCTTCTGTCTAGACGTCTCTTCGACCAGATCCTCAACCCTCTACCGCATTTCGTTGAGAATGCCGTTGGTTCCGAGGGCAAATCGCTCCATCTCCTCTAACTTCAGTGACATGCTCTCTATCTGGATGGCCTTCCTCTGTATTTCTTCTTGACTTAACATTACCTTCTCCTTTTCCATCGCAGTTTCTGATTCCGCATTCATGGCTCGTCTAGCCAGAGACTCCATTACGTCGGTGACCGTCTGTACATACTTGAGCATCTCATTGACATAAGCCCCGTCATGTAACTCATTTATCAAACTATGTTGCTTACCAATCTCCACCCATTTTGCATCACCGGGATCACTCAACACCGACATATCTATGCTCTTAGACAATCCAGACAGAGGGGCATATTTTCTACCAAATAAGCTACCATCCTCATGGTGCTGTGTGTCAAATGATAGATGGGACAAGTCTCCAGCCGCCATAGTTGTAGCCGTAGATTTCAGGTAGGTCAACAGCGTAGTAGTTGTTCTCATTCGTCTCCAGAGGATCTCCATCTCCATTTCCCAATCTTCCTTGGAAACCCGAACAGATTCCTCAACACCTTCCACTTTGGACCTCCTCTTTTCTATTCCCTCCATCCACGTCTTGTGGTTTGATTTTAAAGCTGACGTAGAAACACCTTCTTTGGCATCCATATTCTTAACCTACATTGCCGGTAAGCTCAACACTTTAAGAACTCTACAGCCACGACATGAAAACATTATAATTAGGGCTAAAAACCCAAATCGGATCGGTAAACGAAAAAGAGAAACAACTAATTTCGCATGCCCAGAAGATTGCAGCAGCAGAAAACGCTTGAAGAACCGATGACAAAAATAATTCGAAGATAAACCCCAAAACTAACCGATCGAGTACACGAAGAAGTTCAACGCTCACTTCAATCGAACTCTAATCGGATAATAAAAGCAAAAAAAAAAAAAAATCATTCCGGACGAAATTCAAGATGACAATAAGCAACCATTACGGCAAGACGAAGCAGTATACGAAGCTGCAAAAGAGTTACAAAAACTCCAGACATCAAAAGAAAAATTGCAAGTTGGCACCGGAGAGGTCGGCAGATCGACCGTTTTGACTTTTGAGGAACTCCGGTAAGGAAAGCGGGTTTGTTCGTCTTGGCCGAAACACGCGTCCGCTCATAAGAACATCAACATTCAACGGTTGTGCCCATTATTTTACACCAATTAACGCCGGCTATAATGGGCTATGTGAATGGCCCAATTGACCTATTTTGGGCCTTATTTGGGCCACCTATTGTGCTCTAGGTTCCGATTGCTAGGCTTATATTGTAATCTGGGCCTATATGATCCTTACCCTTTGGATATTCGAATCTGGTGATTTCCCTTCGCCACGTGGCATGAAAATGACTCGCCTAGTGCCTATGGGCTTCCATTGGACAGTGACACTGCGTACGCCACAGGCAATCTCGTATTTTCTTCGTTTGTTATTATTTATTTTAGAAGAACGTATTCCACAGGTAACCCCCCATCATTATGCAATATAACGAAGTGATAATATTAGTTTTGCTCCAACGCAAATATATTTTTTTTATGTGAATATATTAATATCTTGATATTTTTTATGTCGTGTTTTCAATTCATATACGCATGCATATATAGAGTATATGCACTTCGAAAGAATATATTTAAATCATTGCCCATGCGTACTATATTTTTATAAGTTAATAATACGAATGCCTACTTGCCTAACAATCATAGATCGTTCCCGTATAGCGATCCCTAGACGAGGGTGAAGCCCACGTTATACGTCTACTGCTCAAAATATACACAAGGTACATTACCAAAAAAAAATATATACACAAGGTATTGAATATTATTCTTCTTCCTTCAACACACTCTATATATATATATATATATATATTGAAACATCTTTCACATATATTGCAGAAATTACACGTACAATTATGACAATTTTAAACATATTATGTCGATGTTTTTGTCTTCACTTGAAATATCGACGTACATTGTAGGTTATATACATCTTGTTCTCCTGTTAAATTATCACGCATTATGCATTGCGCTTTTGCGCTTTTTCTTTTCTTTTCTTTTCTCCGACCTAACTGCTATATACACCACAATTTTTTTCGCTACCGACCTCATTCTCGTGCAATCCAACTCACGTATACACGCCGCACTTTGTGCTACATCAGCCTCTGAGACTACAACTTTCAAACTCTTCAAACATTTTCAAGCATGCAATACCGACTCAAATTCGAACCACAACACCACATGAAAGATGTTTAGTTTAATACGATCACTATTTCAATTTTCAGTTTTTATATAATAAGATTGAATTCATCATAGTTGATTTATCTTGAGAGGGCATATAGGAAGATATTATTCCTAGAAGATTATCATTAATATTGTTATGATTTACCCTAGATATTATACCTAGAATATTTTATTGTATTTTGCTATATATTAGGGTGTAATCTTTCAATTATCAATAATAGAAAAACATTTCCCTATTATTATATTATGTTAATGAAAAGATACTATTGTTTATAATAAATTATTAAAGCATTCAAAAAAATTATTAAAGCATTCGAAATGTATACAAATATTATTGAATGATTATAGGAATATTACTATAAATTCACAAAAGGACATGTTTTATAATTAATATCTTTTAGTATCATAATTACCGATCTTTGAATTTTATTAGGAGGAAAAAGACCTACTAGTTTGTTTGTGATCGGCAATCTAGTGTACAGCAACTATTGCTATAGACTATAGTTGAGAGGAATGTAAAACTATTTGTGATTAATAAAACATAATGTGATCCATTTTAATATGATTGATATAAATGGATAATGAACTTGTTGCAACTAAAACAGATTTACCAATACTCATTAATGTACTATTTGGTTAAAATTGATTAAAATATTATTTACGCATTGACCAACAAAACAACTAATACTAAATTTTACAATCAAATGAATTAAAATTAGCTTTGATACCTTAGAATTGACGAAAATAAAATAAAATAAATCTAAAATATTGTAGAGAATCACAAAGCAACTTTCTCCACCATACATATATATCTAAGAAAAATACCGTAAAGATAGAAAAAGATAAATCATCTCATTCTGATATATCTAGATCTTTTTCTTTTTTGGATAATCGAATGTCTTAAACCAAGAGCTAAACTAAACTAGAGGACGAAAGTCAGCCATGTGATTTGGAATATACGTTCTCTTCCCAAATTTGAGGTTCGAACTCGGGACGAGATAGACGAATATATTTGGATCTTATGAGTAGCCTATTTATCAATATCCAATACCCGCTTCTGTTCAGATTAATATCAATATTCAAACTTCTTCAATCTCTTCTGAGCATTCCTCCCTCCCGTATTTTTCTCCTATGCCCACCGGTTTTTTATTCTTCTTCTTCTCCTTCGTCTTCTTCTATTTCGTTTTCTTCTTCTTCTTCTTCTTTATCTTCTATGCGTTTTTCTTCTTCTTCCTTCAATAAGCATATATATACAGGCAACTCTTCCCATTATCAAGATTTGTCTACAAGGAGACATGTAGGTTTTGTATGTAAAGATATACGTAATCCCGTGAAATAAACTACCCAAAACATTGCATTGCGTTTATATACGATATACCTACAAATTGTACGTTTTGTTTTCTAGTTGAAACTCGTCTAATATATCAGAATGGAGCTCCATTTGTTCGTGATCCACTTATCTTGAGCAAGTAAACCGCCTCCTTTATCATATTATTAGTTGTTATCTTTTCTTTTTGCCAATCTTTTAACGGGTCTACAAGTTTGATCTATAAAGAAAATTATGGATTTGCCAATAAAAATATCGACTCATGCCTTTTATATTGTTTTTTTAGTTCCGAATATCAAATAATTTTTTTTCCCATTTCATCGATCTAATTTACATGATTAAACATGGAGGTTGGGTTCCACACTAAGGGGGGAAATCGACATGTGTACCCCTTCGTAAACTAAGATTTTAAACCATGGGTATGACTTATGAGAGCCAGACCAGAATACGCGCATACGTGGCACATATTTGAATAGTTAATGCATGAGCCATACATATATATATACATGTGTGCTTGATACGATAGTGGGAAGAGCCATTTGCTATATACTAATATACATATATATATATATCTCTCTGTTGAACGATAGGGCTTATATTATATAATGGGCCGTCGTTCAAAGCTATCAGGTAAATTCTTACCCGAGGGCCCGATAACGCATAGTGTAACCAGCCCTATATCACAGAAAAAACTATACAAAGAAAACGACACCTTAGAAGAATTAGGGTGGTTAGATATTTTAAAATTTGTACTAAATTAATACCGTATATTATTTAGTTCGGTTTGAATACATTTCGGTCTCGATTTTTGTTAAAAAAATAATTTTTTTTTAAAATTCGATTTTTCGAGAATTTTATAAAATTCGATTCGATTGAGAAATTCAAAAAACATATCGTTCGAGAATTTTGAATGGTACAATTCGTAAAAAATACCGAGATTTTTGATTTGATACGGTACGGTTCCTCATAACCGAACCGAAATGTCCACCCCTAGAAAGAATAACGGTAGAAATCTACTCGTCTTACTGAAGATTCTGTTTCCTAATGGCATAAGCAGGCAATTTAGACAAGTCCGGGATGACAAAGGCAAGTTCTAAAGATCCGGTGACAAACATCGGACTTCCAGGGGCCCATTTTATTACCGGCGGTTCACTGCTATGAGCCATCCAACTCCAAGTATGTACCTGCACCCAGCAATGGAAAGAATCCATCATCAGAGAGAGACATGGGCATTGTGATCATAGACAAGTCTGTTGCTTTTCGTACCTGTTTTCCACTCCGTACATTCCATGCATGGATGCTACCGTCGCCCGAGCCTAAAGAGGAAACGAGATAACGGTGGTTAGACACCGATCAAGTTTACACAAGTGAGATGTTTCCTACCTCGCAATTGATGAAGGGTACCTGAAACGACAAACATCCCTTCAGGGCTGAAGGTTGCATCCAATGTGGATTCTCCAGAAACTGGTTTTACATTATACGTCGATAGCTGGCGATACATAATTGACCCCAAACTTGTCAGAGAAATTAACATGTCCACATGCTTATGAGAAAGAAATTGGAAAACTCAGCAATGAGATTTTTTTTTGAAAGATAAAAAAAAAGTATGGAATGCTGAAGGCTTACAAGTGTGCCACGGAACGAGTCGAGTACATGCACATGCCCATCCATGGTTGTGAGAAGTATGAGCCTTCCGTCGTTGCTGAATTTCACAACGTTTGCATCAGATATATCACCTCCAACAGAGAACGTTTCGAAGGGACCCTACACGAGTTTCTCTCACGCTGATGAGACTTTTGACGTAGGATTTAAGCGACTCAAAGTCTTGCTTGACTCGACGGAGCTCCACCTCATTTTCCGAGGCTCTTTGCTTCTGTCTAGACGTCTCTTCGACCAGATCCTCAACCCTCTACCGCATTTCGTTGAGAATGCCGTTGGTTCCGAGGGCAAATCGCTCCATCTCCTCTAACTTCAGTGACATGCTCTCTATCTGGATGGCCTTCCTCTGTATTTCTTCTTGACTTAACATTACCTTCTCCTTTTCCATCGCAGTTTCTGATTCCGCATTCATGGCTCGTCTAGCCAGAGACTCCATTACGTCGGTGACCGTCTGTACATACTTGAGCATCTCATTGACATAAGCCCCGTCATGTAACTCATTTATCAAACTCCTACACGAGTTAAGTGTCCAAAAAATTGTTCAACACAACAACAAGAACAAGTGAAGGCAGTGGTTCAAACCACATTCAGAATGAACTGCAACATTCTTTCGTGAAAAGACAAACCTTTTCATACATGCGGGCGTCAAACATTCTTACGTAACCACCAAAGGCAACTGCAAAGACTAAACCTTGATCATCATACGCTGCGGCAGGTCTTCCTTGCACCCGTAAGAGACCCTGAGGTAAAAAACCCGTAAATAAGAAATATATATATAGTAGCAAGGAAACAGCAGCAACATAAACAAATATCTATTGGCCAAAGCAAACCTACCTGACATTTCTCCACCCTTTGATCCCAAAGCAGAACAGTTCGGTCTAGTGAACCAGATATAAAGCTTTCTCCATGAGAACACAAGCTAAGGGAAACAACCCTGAGTTTGATATGAACGGATAATACAGTCACTTGGGTTTCAAGGAAGATATGATAACTTGATTTATCAGCATCAGCATTGCGAACCTGTCGTGATGACCCTTAAAGTACCGCAAGTACTTGTTGTCATGCAAGGAGAGAAGCCGCAAAGATTCTAACGAGAAAGAAAACACTATAAGATAAATTGCATCAGAGGGATGAGGTGAAACGCAATTTGGCAAACGAAGGCATACCATCCCAGCCGTTTCTTGAAGAGTAGATAACAGTTGTAGGATGCGAAGTGAAGCAAACAAGATCGACACCATATTTTTTGCTGTTGATTGTTTTCAGACATCTGAGCAGAAAGGCAAGACAACAACAAAGTTAAAACGAGTACCGGGTTCAAACATAACACTTGAGCCGACAGGAAGTGCAGAATTTAACTTACGTCGCGTTCGCAACATCGTAAAGGCGAATCGAATCATCGTCACTAGCGGTTACCATGTAACTCGATGGCTTGTGGAAATCGATCGAACTGATCCTACAATTCTGCGAACATTAACTATAAAATTGAGCACCAATTAACGGAAATTCATAAATGAACTCGTTCCAGACAGGATTTTTTGGGTTTTGGGAAGAGAGAAATGGGGTAGATACATAGTCTCTGAAAACCGCCCCGGGCTCCATGCTTTGTAGGATTTCTTCGGTGAGTTCCAAGGAAACTCTGTCTTCTCTCTCCGATTGCGTCCCTGTGAGAATGACGACGAGGAAAACAGAAGAAAAATCAATTTAACCTAACAAAAATGGATCGACGTGCGAGCAGCCGACGTAATTTTACTCACCCACCATCTTCACCGACGTAGAGATCGGTCGCCGGAGACCGACGGGAGGAAATGACTATAGGAGCCCTAAAGGAATGTGTAGGGGATATATCATTTGGGCCGACCTTTGTATTGTAGGCCCAGATACAAAAGCTGCTCCTGCATAACCCTCTGATTCTCTTGGCGGATCTCATGATTATGATTTATGGATTTATGATGAGTAGCTGGATCCTTGACTGTTGAGTTGGGTTTGACCAAATTGAAGGTTGAATTTGGGATGTTTTTAATTGTTAAGTCCAAGTGCATCACTAATGATTTGAGTTTCTGTAAACATGTTCGAAATTATTTTTGATTTTTTACCTTATCATTTATCTATTTATCTATTATTCCTCTTCTTACGATAACAATATTATTTAATCTTGATATTCAATATAATTTGGTACACTAAACTTGGCGTATTGAAGTTCGGAAATTTTCGAATTTTAAAAAAATGTACAAGGTTTGTTATTTTTCTTACAACTGTCAATTTCTTAAATGCAAAAGATTTATTAGCAAACAAAAATTACATGATCTTCTACAACATCAACAAATCTTATTTTCATATATTATAAATTGATTCTTTTTTTTTTAAAAAAAAAGAGAAGGTGCACATTACCATAGTCGTGTAAACTAAGACAATCTACAAGCCAACACATAGTAATGAGTAAAAATCTCATCTTGGGATTTACACCACCTACTGAACCGGAGTCAGCCAACCCGGTTAAGCTAACATGACTGGTATCACCACCTCATTACCACCGCCGGCGGTGGAGCTGCGGCCGCTCTCCTCCGTCACCGCCTTCTTCTTCTTTATAAACTCGATACAATCCGCCACCGCTTCACTGTGGTAAGGATCCGCCGGATAGTAGTGTCTCGGCCGCCTGACGTTCGCCGGAGAATGTTTGTTTCGGCGGTGGGAGACGGCGGATACCATTATGAGGCGGAGAACGGCGTTGCGGAAGCGGTCGAGGAGCGTCATAGGGGCGAAATTAGGGTTCCGGGCGGTGGCTAAGCCGTCGGGTTTTAGGCGGGGGACGCAGAAACCGCCGCCGGAGTTCGTGACCTTCATGTTTGCGATGCTTTCTGGTCTCCTCTTGGGTTATACCATGTGGGTTAAATGTATACATGAGAATCTTATAATGAATGGGCAGCGCATTTTTATAAACGTTCGCCGTTTATACTTTTATTTTGGTATATTTAATTTAATTTGTGTGACAACTCAACTATAGTCTATTCTCCAATCCAAATTATTAAAAAAGGAATTGTTTTTTTTTTTTGTGATAGGTATTTTTATTTTAAAAAAAACGAATTGTTCGGTGAGATTATAATATTGAGTTATTTGTTCTTGAACTATATTAAAGTTTTATTTTTGTGGAATGCATATATTCGTCATAAACCAAAATTAATTTATTTTTCATCCATACGTAACTAGTTGACTTTATCTCCTATTGGAACCAAATCGAGAACCAATTATATATTTCATCTATATACATATATACAAGTATACGTATACACAGAGACATGTATATTATATATATGCATGAACCGGACAAAAAGAAGGCATAATAAACGCAAGCGCATATATGAATATATATGTAGGAGTAGGACGGGTTTACAAGATAGGGCCAGGGTTGACGTGGTCTGGGGGGCGTGGCTTATAATAAAGACAGTAATGGGTGGCTTAAAGCATAGTTGAAGTCTTTGTCTTGACTGACGGTTTTCACATGGTTACATGTGCACCTTCGATATATACACCTCCATCCAAAATTATATGCACCTGCCTATATTTGTTTATCGATATTTTTTTTTATATCATTATGTTGATTAATATTGAGCCGACTTACCGGCCATTACAATTTCAAAAATGTAATAAAATCTTTATCCGTATCGCTAGCATCACCCGAGAGAGAGAGACGTCTGATGGTCCACTATATTGAAAATTCAACTTATTTGAAAACGTTTTTGTTTTTAAAATTGTAGTATCGTGATTGATTTAGTGAAAACCCATTTCGTAAAAATTAGTAATTTATAGAACCAGCTCGCCATGTAATGTTAACCCATGATTTTTTTATAATCCGATAATTAACGAATCTTTGGTCTAATTATATTTATCACATAATGAGAGAAATCCATGTGAATGTTCTTCCAAAACAGAGACTCGAATCTCGATTGAAAAAGAGTTTTGTTTTATTTTTTATCAGTTGAATCATTCAATTTTGGTTTATTGATGGATGCACAAAACTAAGAAAAGAAATCAGTCGTATAGACATTTGAAAAAACGTATATATCTCAAACGTTACAAGTATCAAAGTTCGTATTTATTTCGTCACATGTGAATTTGCATGGATGTTATACTTCAAAATAGAATTAGTATATATGTGTTAATTATTGGGCCTGTTCTTGGCGAAGAGCCACCCTGCGAGAGGAACGAGTGGTTTCATCTTCTTCGTATTCTTCTTGACAATGAGCTGATTCTTATTATGTGTCTCTTCCACGATGACCTTCGTCAACAGCGGCGGGTTTGCGAACTTTACCGATCGCCTCCTCTCGATATCGCGTTTTCCGATATCTTCTTCTTGGATCAGAGGGTTCGTCTCGGTTATATCCCTCGACGTCATGGTCTCGGTGCATTGGCGAGACTCTCTTCTGGGTTTGGCTTCGACGAGGGCATTGAGATCTGTCTTGGTAGTCTCGAGCTCTTCGGTTAGGGTTTTAGTAAGCTGCGAAAGAGCTTTGTTCTCTTCCAAGGCCTTCCTCAGGTTTTCCTTTGTTTCTTGGAGCTCGGCTTCTAAGGTTTCCACTCGTGTTTTGCCGCTCTCTCCGCCCTGCTTCAAAAAAAAAACGTTTCATATAATTCCCATGTATAACAATTTACAATTTCCATGTGATTTTGTTCGAAATTAATTAATTATAATATATATAAAACCTCAAGAGGCTTGGTGGAGGAGATGTCCCCGAAGAGGAGTTTGTCGCCGAAGAGGGAGACGGCCTCTTTGACGGACCGAAAAGGGGCGCCGGTGTCGATCTCCGCTCGCACCATCTTTTCCTGCCTCTCTTCACTTTCTCCTCGTCGTCCTCCGTTGGTTCCATTTTATACGTTGGGTAGTCGCACACCCTTTTCAAAAGACAAGCCCCCACATGTACGTTGGTTAGTTCTTACTAACAGGGTGGTGACAACAAACGTTTCATGAGTAGTGTATAATAATCAAGATATATAAAAAAAAAATCAACTTACACACACACACATATATATATATATATAATAAATAAATATTGCTTTCACTTTAGTAGAAAGAAATGGTTAGACGAGTGTGGGGGTTGGTTAGACCATCGTGCCGTTTAAATGAGATGCGTTCGGTTGGCTACTTGAATTGACAATACATATCAGTTAGCTACCGAATTCCCGTACCATCCGTGGTGTCTCTGGGCAACCTTTGTCCGACCAGAAGCTTCGTCGTGGCCCATTATAGCGAGTTTTTATATGGGCCTAGATGGAAAGACCGAAAACTCATATTGGTTACATGATAATTAAAAGGCCCACATAGATCAGATTGGCCCAATTGGTAATCTCTGGGCCCTATGACCAAATTACCCTTCCCCCACAAATTACCGTTTTATACATTGCATGTGGAGGTGGTTGCGGCGATGACGAGAGGAACAGCAGCACGTGTATTGCTCGTCGACCGCATCTCCATTTTGAGCGTTAGTTGTTGTTCTCTGCCACGACGCCTCCTTCTATCCGTTTATTAATTTATTGTATTAAATTATTAACAATGGCAAATATGCAATGTTAAAAGGTAATGAACATACGTATACTTTGGAACCTATCAATAAAAAAAGTTTATTTTAAATTTGTTTTATGTTTTTTTTTGCTATAAATAAACCCTCTAAAAACGGTTCATATTTACCAAAAAAAATACATTTTAAAAATTAATTAATGGAATTAGGCTATAACCTTACTTGCCATTCGTGAGAGAGATTCTAGAAACAATGGGGAGAGCGGTGGTAGGTAGCGAATTGTCCCCTCTCTCTTCGGACTTCACGAGCTTCGCGAGGAATGCC